GTAAACTGCAGCGACATTCTTAACGGGAGGTCAGGTAAGCTCTGCCCACTGCTAATATGCGGAACTCAATCATTTAAAAATATGACATAATAGGAGAATGAGCAAGAATGCCTGCTTTCAGAACACAAAACTGGGCGGGTTAGGAGATAATAAAACAACACCCAGGATGGCTATCCCCACATGTCATCATTAACATGCTTGCACTGCAAAGGGTATTAAAATCCATGCCAGAAAAAGCGGTGTGTTTGGATTGCCAGGTTACCACCCAGAAACCTACCCAATGCCTTTAAATCACCTGATGCACCTGGTGATAAGGCAGCAGCCCAATCCCAAGGCATTTTTTAACTCCAGGCCTGCACAGCTGTTCCTTGCTCACCAGCACCTGCTGGTCAAGCTGGCTGCCCCATTTCCCCAAATGGGCTGGCCCTGCAGTGATTTCTTCCTTCCACCCAAATCCCTGCTCCCTGGACGGCGGGTGTGTGATACAGGTGCATGGTAGAAGAGTAGCTGGCAGCACACACAGGCACGTTCAGGTGGGCAAAGTCTCTACAGATGCATTTGGATTTTTTAAAAAAGGGCATAGGGAGGCACGTGGTCACAGGAACAACCCCTCGTATTTCTAGGTAGGGCTGGGAAACCCCAGAGAACCAATCAGTGTAGACAAAGCTAAGCTGAAAGGGCCAATGGGCTGTGTCAGCAGAAGACACCTTCCCATGTTCCAAAATGCAATTTGGCAATCTGTGACTACAATGTGGAGTAGCAAATATATATACTGGCTTCATTTGTGGTGCTTATAGCATTTTGTCCATTGAGTATACACTTACTCTGCTTATGGCTAGTGGGCAATTTCTATTAAGCCCCGCCATAAGTCTTTGTTCAGTGGCATTGATACTTCCAACTTTATGCTCAAGGTTCTCCCAACCATTGTGCATGCCAAATTCCATGAAGCACATTCGACCTGTTGTGCCAGGTTCAGAATGTGCGATTAATGCCATCCCCGGCCCACTTCCACAGGGCAGCATTGTCCAAGTGGGCTTGAAGCCAGCTATTGCTGTGAATCGGGGGCTATGTATGTGCTTATTTGTGCAAAGTACTTATTAATGTGAATCAATACCGGCTCGCAGTTCCTTTTGAACAGCATCTTGGTGCTTTATCTAACTCAGGCTTTATCGCCATGCCAAAACAGCCCTTATTCATACTCCACATGCAGCAAAACAAGACCAGTAGCCAATCTGAGGAAAAAGCAAAGCTACAGGCATGGCCTCCTATGCAGGCAGGCACTGGATTACCCTTCCTGCTCCCTTATTCTAGCAGCTGATATGGACAAAGCTCACAAGCGGCAGAGAGGCTGGAAGAGCAGGAAAGCCTTGCTTCAGGGCCAGCATGCAAAACGAGAGAGTTCCATCCTTCAGGAACACAGACAAGAACTTGCTGCCAACAGGCTGCTTAGGTTGGCAGGGGAAGACAGGCAGGCCTGGTACAATGGGAAAAATAAAAAGGCCATGGAACATAGAGAAACCTCAGAAACCGACATAAAAACGGTAGCGGGGCATCTGTAGCCACAGAAGTTGTGCAGCAGAGCACTGCTAGCACCGAGACCATCAGCACTTTGTGAAAAGCCGGTCTTCCCAAGGGCTGCTCTTTTTATCTGAAGACCATTTCCCCTCCTCTCTCCCTACCTTGCCCTAATTCTTGGCAGCTGGAAACTACCTTAGGCAGTGCAGTTTGTTATGATTTCTGTCTCAGTTTCCAAGAATTGCAGCAAAAGCACTATTACTGACTTTAAGACATCCAAGGAAAGTTTAAAAAGGACTGACAAAGAAAGAACAGAAAATGAGAAAGAGATAGAAAAGGAAAAGATGCCCAGAATTATTATTATTTAAATCCTCTTTTCTGAGGATGCTTCCAGATGGGGACTTAATTTGCAAGTAGGCCCTGGAGATACCACAAATGGGTAGTCAACAATAGGGTTCTTTCTCCTTACTGGATTTGCCCCCCCCCCAAAAAAAAGGGTAAATCCGGATTATATTTTGGCAGCTGGGGGCAGGGGGCAGTGAGGGAATATGAGCTGGTGTTTCGTTGCCAATGACATTGTGTGGATGCTGCCTACAAAGTTGGATGCATGACAGTACCAAATCCACAATAAACCCCTGCCTGGAAGCACTTTTAGTCAAGGACAAATATGCTGATGAAGGGTGTGCAGAATGCAACTTAAAATAGTAATAATAATGTCAGATTCACCTTAAAACTTGTGCTTGAAAAAGTGGGCACATGTATGAAATAAATCAATGGCTTTATGGAAACATGCATAAAAATACTTTAAAAGGTACAGTGGTACCTCGCAAGAAGAATGCCTCGCAAGACAAAAAACTCGCTAGACGAAAGGGTTTTTTGTTTTTTGAGCTGCTTCGCAAGACGATTTTCCCTATGGGCTTGCTTCGCAAGACGGAAACGTCTTGCAAGTTTGTTTCCTTTTTCTTAACACCGTTAATACAGTTGTGACTTGACTTCGAGGAGCAACTCATAGAACGCGGTGTGGTAGCCTTTTTTGAGGTTTTTAAAGACTTTGGTGATTTTTGAAGCTTTTCCAAAACTTTCCCAACACCGTGCTTCGCAAGACGAAAAAATCGCAAGACGACAAAACTCGCGGAACGAATTAATTTCGTCTTGCGAGGCACCACTGTACAAATTTCACTATCTTCCAAACAGTCCAATGGTGATAGCTACCACTCCAAAACTCTGACATTCACAAATGTCTAACTATTTACCTGTCTAACACCCCAATGCTACCACCACATTCATCGCAAACAACTGCACCAGTTCTGTTCTGTCACATGTTATGGCAGTGGGGCAGGGCTGGCTTGGGAACCAGTGGATCCTAGGCCATCTTAGCCCTGTTCCCTCTCCTGGGAGTTTCCTGGGGACTGCCACCAGCAGGCATATCACCTGCAGAAGAGAAGCTCTGTGCTAGAGAGCGATGCTGGCAACACTCTGCAAGTGGAGGCCACATGCCCAGTCTGCCTCTTCCTCCCAGTCCAGGGCAATGGAGGTTGGAAATTCAGCCTCACAGCCTGAAATATTGACTTGAGAGAAAACAGAGGGGTCCTCAAATGCACAACAGAGTACAAACGTATGCCCTCCTGCATTTCACAGATAGCAATAGTACTCCTTGCACTGAAGACCACTGGGAAAATCCTTCTCCAGTGCTGTACAAATGCAGGGGCAGTGTGAGCAATGAATGGTTACACATTTACACACTTGAGCACTCACTCCTCCCAAAGATTACACTTCTAGACACTTGGAGAAGACAGCTGACTCCCGGAGAGGGCAACCCCAGCATGTCACAATAACAAAATGTTAATACGGCATCACAAGGCGGTTAAAATATGTACACTATCCAGAAACAGAGACCAGAAAAAACAGACCAGCTAAAGTATACAAACGAAACATGATAGAGCTGCAGAACTCATAGGGAATACCCATAACAAGTCAAGTCTTTCTAGCCTGTGCAGTTGAGTTTAATATTTTAAAAGAGCCTAAGGACAGTGGAGGCAGCAAATGTGGAACTCCTCATTTTCTATTACCATCTCTTAAGTAGCAGCTTTTACTGTTCTCCAGGAAATGAGAAGCTGAAATTCCTTGTAGGCTCCCAAGATCGTCGCTCAGGAATGACGTTTGCGTCCTTATATATTCAAGATAGGATGGAGCCCCTGTCTGCTTTCATCCTACAAAGCAGCCCAAGCTGCAGGCCTTGTTTCTCGGTCACACTTTTTAATATTTATGTATTGATTATTATAATTGTTCAGTGTTAACCAACAGCCAATACTGACAATAATAATAGTAATTAACACATGAAGGGTTCTATCCAATGAAGTCATCCTTTGAAGAGGAGTTCCTGTCCCTCTCCACCTCCTATAGTTGGGGGTTCCAGGTAGTTAGAGGAACCCCAAAACAAATTTGGGGGAGAGAGCATGAGGAGAAGAGGAGCTGTTGAGCAAGTGGAAGCCCTCGCGCTATCAGGACAATTTGTTGGATGCAATAAAATATTATTTATTACTCAACAATAATAATTCTGTATCAATATTAACTAAAGACGCCCATCCTTTGTTCTACATAATCCGTTGTTCCATATTGCTCAAATACTGTGTATTATTCAGATTCAAAGCCAATAAGAACTCTCATGACATTTATTTTTTGCTAGCCAATATTCACTCATGGCAACCTCCAATACTGCTGGCAAATGGGGATATATCAAATGGACTTTAGGCATTAGCTCTGTAACACATGGGAAAGGAATTAGTTTTATTGATCAGGAAAAGCTGCGAAAGGGGTTGCCAAAAATGAAACTAGATGAGTCCTTAAAAAAGAAGATATAATCCACCGACACCATCACTAACTCCATAGGCCATTATAGGTTGCGCAATCTCATTCAGCAACTGATTTTGCCAGGGAGTTACTCTGAGAAGCATAACTCCCTGAGTATGCATATATTTATATGGCCGAAAGCCCAAACTTGACCTCCCAAAGGAGTCTGCCAACAAAGTCTCATCGTCACAACCACACCTCCTAAATGATCCATTTTCACATCGTGATGAACTATTAGAGACTCTCCAGGGTCTGGAATGGGTCCAGGGAGACCACTTTCCAACAGGCTGAAAACAGTCCTTTGAGCTGTAAGCTACCACGTCATCCTGGAAAACGTTGAGAAATAATCTAACAAGAAATAGTTGCACTGATTCGTGCAAATGTTGCAAGGTCAGCTTCACGAGAGCATGAGGCAGCAAAGGCAGAGGGGAATATGAAGTAGACTTAAGGCCTGCAAGAGGCGGGGGGGGGGGGAGGAAACTCTCTCTCCCCATGCCCTGCTTTCTCCCCCAAAGGAAAAGTTGAAAAATTAGAAATTTGGGATGACAGCGAATCAAAAACCCTTGTGACATAAATTTTCTTTCACAACAAGTGAACTGCTTTTAAAAGCAGCCTTTAAAAATCATACTGACACAGTCAATTAATTCAGTTTTTATTTTCTTAGATCCGATATATTAGAAGTAAGTAGAGTTAGCAAGGATATAATTGCTATTAATCTGGGCTGGATCACCAAATGAGGAACACTCTTAGATGTTAGCAAAGAGACCTCTAAATGTTGCAGAATGCAGAACATCTTCAGCGATTTGCTGCAGGAGTTCTGCCAAATATCTGATATATTGTTTCTGCAGTATTGTGGAAAGGTTTTTTTGTGTGTGTGTGGAAAAGAGACCCTCAGACTTTTTAGTTGCATAAGATTGAAAATGTCACAAGTCCCAAACTTGCCCTGGAGTACCAAACTAGTTTCATAGCTCACTGTGAAACTGTGATGTTCACTGTGATGTTTCTGTAGTCCATGAATAATATATTTGTTAAAATGGGTAGGATTCAACTAAGTAGGTGCGCTAGTGGGAGCTAGTGGAGGGAGGGGGAAGTCCCACTGCACCCCCAAGACCCTCTCAAACTGGCTCTGGAAGGGGGGATGCCAGGAGAACTCCAGAACAGTTTGCGCAGCGACGGGAAGGAATATCATTCCATTGGGCAAGCTGAAATTGCTTGTGCTGATGGAACGACTGGAAGATTGTGACGGCGAACTTCTCCCATCATTTTTACTCCTATTTTTCCCAACTCACAAAAATAAAGATAGGTATCTTAGAGGCAGTAGCTTGCAGCTCCACCTCTAACACTGGATATATTTGAATAAGATTAAGGCAATGATGCTTAAAATTTTCATAAATATATGATACAGCGCAAATTTATCTGCTGGGTTAAACACAATACACTTTTGTGTTCTCAAAGTAGTGCAGTTAGTACTTTAAATGAGAAGGTGTTGCTTATTTTTCGATTCCCCCCCCCAAATAAAAGATGGGAGGGGGACCCAGCTTCATGGCTTCGTGAATTCCAGAGAAGGTATATTTCCAGTCAAGCTTTGCTCCTTTTTTTAAACCAGTGTCTTCCAGCAATAAAATGTAAGGATTCAATATTCCCCAGCTGTACATGTATGCCGTTTCATAGTTATTCCTGAACAGATTTTTTTTTTTAAAAAAAAAGTTTCCCGAAACAAGTGTGCCTCATTTGTAAAATACCCCAAATTGTTGTGACTCATCGTCCCTAAATTCTAACCGGCAAGCAATGTTGCAAAATGCTGCATGCGCCCATCACTGGCTAAAACCAAAGCTTCCCTATACCAGCCCCTTCCTTGCTCGCTTGCTTCTTGAGTGAAAGCCACGCACATTTGATTGGAGGATTGTTCTTCAACAGTGTTGGACCAAAGCTTCCCACCTCAGAGGACAGGAAGCCGCGGAGAGAGAAAGCAAGTCCTTTGTACAAGTGTCCTCAGTTTCACAGGAGCCTCACATCTGTCTAGTGGCATACACATGACTGCCCTGGATTTGTTCAGTGCTCCCAGAAGACTGGATGGGACCCGAAGAAGCAGGGTAGCTCTCACCTCCGACCCGCGTGGTGTCTGTTGGCCTCCATGTTCAACGCCACGTTATGGAGGAAAAGGAGGATCTGCCACCAGACCTGGTTTCGGTTCTGCTGGTGCTGTAAAAAGGGGAAAGGGTCTAAACAACGATTACTCATATTAAACTCGCCGCCCAAGTTTCCAGTGAAAACTCCAGTTATGCTTTCAAGGGCAGGCCCAAAATGTGAAAGAGGGAGGAGAAGAAGAAGAAGAAGAAGAAGAAGAAGAAGAAGAAGAAGAAGAAGAAGAAGAAGAAGAAGAAGAGAGAGAGAGAGAGAGAGAGAGAGAGAGAGAGAGAGAGAGGTGTAGATCCTCCAGGAATCACTGTAGCTCCAACATTGTAAAAAAGAAAAGAGCAGACCCTTTATGTATTGTGCACAAAAGGATTAAGGTTTTTTCTCCTCCTCCTCCTTTCTGCAGGATTCTGCAGAGTTTAGCCAAGTGCTGTTTTTAATCAGATTGGCTTCTGAGCCACTCAAAGCCCCAGCTGCAAGAACAAACAACTTCTTTCCCCTCCTTTTTTTTTTAAAAAGGAGGGTGCCCCCCTCCCCACCCCCAAAACATAGGAGAAAGAGAAGGGGGGAAAGAGGGTAGGGAGGGAGAGAGAAGTGTAGCTGGTGATCCATCTGTAAGTGATTTGACACCGTGAAGGTCAAAGGGTTAATCTTCAATTTAAACCACACTGCTGAGACAGCAAAACTGATTTTATCCAGTACAAGAAAACACACTCCTATGCGCGCTCTCTCCCCACCCCCACCCCATGCTTTGCTTCCCAGCATCTCCAAGATAATACTGCCCCTTTTTATAGCTCCTTTTGACAGTAAGCCATAAATAATCAGTCTTGGAGCCCTTTCCTACTGACTGGAGCCAATTAAACCTTAAGCAAGAACACACTTGAAAACAAAAACGGGGGGGGGGGGAACCTAGGGGTTATTTCAGGTCCCATTATCAAGCAGCAAATGTAGAAAATTGTTTTGGGGTGGTGGCGGGGAGGGAGAACCTGAAACCTTATGCTGCTACCTTTGGACAAGAGCACTCAGCCACTCAACTCCTGTCAAATGCCGTAATCAGGCTTTGAAAATTAGGCACCATTGGATGCCAGATCCCAGTTTCAAAAATCAGAGACGTGTGCAGACACAGGGTTGGATCAAGAGATCCGGTGAGTAGAGTTGTGCTCACAGCATGCTGCTGCTGAAGGAAGGGGGAGGAGATTTATCGGAGTTCCCCCTTCCTTTGCAGCCCCCCAAAATCTGCTCCGGAGTGTCAGAAGGCCATCCAGAACAGAATGGGAAGCAGTGCAGGAAACAGCAGGGGCAATTGCTGGATTGTACCTCCTTCTGAGGGTGGAAGGAGCTCTTCCATTTGTGGAAGACTGACTCTGGATTCAAGCCATTGTCATTGTTCTACACAGCTGCACGTCTATGACGTGTGCTGCCTCCCTTATATCCCATAAGGCTGTGATGTAGATTAAAGGGGAAGCCCCCTTAAAACAAAGGACCCCTGGCAACTCCAGGACTGTTTCTCTTTCTGGTTCCCTTCAGTTATCAGCATGAAGTCTGCTTATTCTCATTCATAATGCCTCATTTGTTAACAATGGTCTTTTATTTCCTTCCAAAGCGGCAGAGAATGGAAGCCTGGTTTAAGCTGACCAGGGTTGACCCAAGACATTAAGAAAGCCCAAGCAGCTGTGCCACATGACCGAAAAAGCTCATATCTCAGCTGTGCAGGCTGAGAGCAGTACTCCGGTATCTTCTGTGACATTGAAAGGGTTCTGAAAACATACCAGTTGGTTCCCTTGCAGCATCACCAACTCCCCCAATTGACTGCTTGGGTAAATTCAGGAGTCAGGGCTGCTCTAATGATGGATATAACTCTGAACTCCCAATAATTACCTTTTTGGAGAATATATACATATATATTTTCACTCTGCAACAGGGGTCAGCAACCTAAGGCCCATGGGATGGAAGCTGCCCACAGAGATAGTTTGACAGGCCCACGAGCTGCCCCTGAACCCAGCCTCCCACTCGCACACTGCACTAAACTGGCACAATGCGGCACGGGGACTTGCTTCCGTGGTGCCGAAAATTGCATCTGCGCACGAGCAGACACCAAAAATCAAGGGGGAAAGCGCAATCCGGCCCACGGAGGGATCTCTGTGGAACCGATCTGGCCCAGGCAAGATAAACCTGGCTGACCCGTGCTGTGCAAGACCCAGGAAGTGACAACCTTTTTACCCAGTTAAGAAGAGTGGGATTATGTGTGCAGAACAGCAGTTCTGGGGAGAGGCAGAGAGTTTAAAAGAAGGCAAGAAACACCTTGAGGTCTAGGATATCCCTCTGTTGGGGGATGAGCTGTGAGGTAGTATATTGGATGCACAACAGGAGTGCAATACTGCTTGTTTCTCCATTTATGTTCTCCTTGTGTATTTGGGGAGCACTGCTGCAGTTACAGAAAGCATTGGGAAACTGAGGCCCAGGGACCCAATGTGGCCCTCCATGCCTCTCTTCCTGGCCCTCAAGATTCTCCCCAGACCACACCCCTCTCCAGCCTTGCTCCATGCCCTCCTTGGTGAAAATGTGTCCTGGCACTGTGATCATGCCTGTTGCTTGCCTATGCATTTGTAGAAACCTCAGTGTTCTGTTGATATAGCTAAGAGTCTGATGCACTTTTGCCCCTGCCCACCCCGCTCCCAAATTGCGCCCCTGAAAGGTTGACCACAGAAAATGTGGCCCTGGGGCTGAAGGTTCCCACTCCTGTCCTACGGAAACTTCTCACTGCTGAGGAAATGGGCAGCATAGAACAGTATGCATAAAATAAAAAGAACCTGCTTCCAGAACTTTAAAGTGCTTAAGTGTCACAGGTCCAGCTTCTCCCATGACCACTGCAGACACCTCACCCCACCTCTCTCTCTCTCAAAAAAGTGAGATTCAACCTTGTCCTGCATGATATAAATTATGTTCCTTTGTGGGATACGGTCAATCCAGCAGCTGTTGTAAATACCAAGGAATCTATTATATGTTATTCCAGCCAGTGTCGAATTCAAAAAACTTCCTAAGACATTTACAGGTGTGCAAGTGTGTGTTTTGAGGATAAGGAGAAAGAATTCAGAAGAAAGGAATAATGTTGGATGAAATACTCACAGAGTGTAATCTACAAGTCATTTTTCAAAATATCTGAGGTCTTATTTCCATCACAGTGTTGCTAATTGGGACATCTGGTGCAATGAAATAGATTTTTTCAAGCAGCTGAGCACTTTACACAAGAGAGCAAACTTTTATTAATGGCGTGGATGTAAAAAAAAATTCATTTTGGCCCAATCTTTAAAAAAGACCAAGGTGTGGCCACTTCCAAACCTTCAGCCAAGCTTTTATCGGACTAGACGGAGTCAGCATTAACTCTGAAGTTGCCATTCCAGCAACATAAAATGGAACTCTAAAGACTGGAGCAGAAAATCAAGGGGACTCCAGCAACCAAAACACAAACCGATGAGTATGATATGCAAAACAAAGTATGCAGCGCACAGAAGCCAGAAGCTGAGTCACTTGAAAAGTTGTTTTGCCTGCCAGGGGCCTGGAGGCAAACTGTGCTGCCACAGGACAGATTACATATTAGGTAAAACAAGGAAATCACTCAAGTTCCCCAAGGCAACAGAGGTCAGGAACATGTTGGAGAAGGAAGTTGGCGGGCAGCGGGCAGAGTGAGGGGAAGCAGAAGTAGTCACAGAACAACAAGCACAAGCGTAGATACCTCTCTTCTTACTATCAAAAAGAAGGTAGTGAACTAGGAAGAAAACTGTCCAGCTGTGCTAATGGTTCTCCAATATTTAATTTTCAACCCAAACTCAGAAGGGAAGATGAGAGAGATCCTTCAGGTACCATGCGCCTGTCACATAAAATGCAAGCTTATGAAAAGGGTGTGTGTGTGGAAATGCATCAAACACACAATAGTCTTCCCATTAGACTTGAAACAAAAAAACCCACCTAACTATTTTAAGAAGGACGCCACTGAGCATTTCAGAACAGTGCAGTATATTTCAGGAAAAAGTGACTTGGTAAGCAGGGGGAGGGGTAAAAGTTATGTCCTGGCCACATAAGCAATAAGAAGGGCCAACACAGAGTCTGTACGGGGAAAGACACTGCCCAAGGATTTTGCAGTGTGTGTGTGTGTGTGTGTGCAGTGGCAGACCTCTCAAATGTCAGAGGCACCCTGTCCAATGCCAAAATTTGGCATCCCCACCTCTTGCCTTTCATTCTACATCATAGCTGCAGCCCTCCTCCTCCCGAGGACCGAACTGGTCGTGCTCCCCTAAATCCACCTCTGATGTGTGACCCAATCTATTTGCTGTAAGATTGTATAAGTGGACTATTCCTCAGTATGCTTACAATTAAAAATAACCATTCTCTTCCATCTCTGTCTTTCAGGACTGAGGCTGCAGGAAGTGGTAGCAAGAGCCAGTTGACTTCCAAGCCAGAGAAGATAACCGCAGGCCACCATTTTCCCAGGCCCACAAGACGTGGCCCTTCTTGTCTTGCTTAACTCTGATGGTTTGTTTAGTTTCTTGCTCTGTATGCAACAAAAAGGAAGGAAGGGTGCTCTATACCCAACACAGGCTCTCAACTCTGTTGGTTTTGGAATTGGCAATCCCAGAGACTCTGTTCAAGGGTTTTGAAAAAAGGGTTCCAGGTCAAGCAATACAAGCATACAAGCATCACAAACTGTTGTTGTAACAATTTATTGCCTGCCCTTCACCTGAAGGTCCCAGGGCCAGTTATAACAATTAAAACACAGCCTTAAATGACATAAAGGCAAGTATACTCATGCCTATCCTAAAAAAAGATAAAAAAGCAATCAGAGCAAAAAGAGAGGGAAATGTGGCTTCATTGGCCCAAGGTATGCTTTCAAATGACAAAGCAAAAAGCTTTAAGAAAATGGTTGTGAATTTGTATGTGTATAGGCCACCAGATGGCTTCGCCATTGATCCTACGCATTAAGAATCAACAGCAGGATTGGCACAGAGTTTGCCCAACTGAAACATATTCTAGGAGGGAATTAAAGTGCAGCTCAACATCCTCTGGCAACT